CACAAAGTAGCAGAATGAGCCTTTAAAAACAAATTGTGTCCTCACTCCCCCATTTAAGACCCTCTATTTAAATTCAAGTCAGTTAAGTTCTTTGCCAGACTTTTCTTTAGCTTGCAGGGCAGTTGTAGGCAATGATTGGTATTAAAATTCTTTATAAATGTTGGTCACTCTTCCTTTTCTGTCTGCTGATTTTTTTGTTCAGCCCTTGTTCTATAAGTGAATTAGTCATGTACTTTTTCTTTTATGTTTGGAAAACCTTTTATATTCATTTTAGATTTATAGAAAAATAATTATTTAATGTATTGAGCAAGTTGATTCTGCAAGGTGTTGGGGACTATAAAGAACACCAGATATTGATTAATTTATGGGTACAAGTCATAAGAAGTTTCCTAAAACAACATGAAAAAATAGAAAAGACGAGATAACAGGTGGCTGTATATGATTGACTCCCCCCAAAAGGAGCAGCATAGATTTAGGGAAATGATACATAACGTGTGGGAATGTCTAGGAAAGGCTATACTCTGAGAGCACAGTGACCCAGGCCATCAGAAGAGGCAGACACAGAAGGCTTAGGAGTGGGGCTGACGTGGAGGCAGAGGAGCACAGGCACGGCACGTGTGTGTAGGGGACAGTGGGCAGATGACTTCCCCTAGTGAAACAGTGTAAATGGGACTGCTCATATAATAGAAGTTGTCAGTGATTAAATCCTAAGCTGGAGAGTTGGACTTTCTTACAGGCAGTGGTTCAAATTATTAGTTGACGCATTTTTAATGATATGGAAACATTTTTTTCAGTTCTCTATTATGAAGTGCATTGTTGTGGTTTTTGTAAAATGTGTACTTTAGGTTTTAAAATACCAAATAAACATGATTTTCTTCATTTCTTATGAGAAGTCTTTGAATTCAAAAGGTACTTAAAGGCACCGCAGCATTGGAGAAGGTGTAGTGAGGACTTTGGATCAGGTACTCTGGGTTGGGAACCATTTTGCGGTATGACCTTTTGTAATCTTGGAAAAGTCACCTAACCTATCTGAGTCTCAGGTATACTATAGTACCAATGCCATAGATGTGTTAGGAAGCGTACGTGCTTATGATGAAGGCCCAATATCTAGCTCTCATAAGGTAGGACAAATACAGGGCAGTAGGCCTGTAGAGGGGTTAGCAAGTGTTTATTATATTTGTCAACTTTTATGTTTCAAAGGTAAAAATGTTCATCATAATGTTTTAACCCTTACATAGTGTTTTCCAAAACGTAAGAGAAATATTCATCTACCCTATGACCCAGCAAATTTCCACTCTTAGGTATTTATCCCAAAGAAATGAAAACTTACGTTCTCAACAAAAGCCTTGTACAAACATTTCGTAGCAGCTTTATTCACAATATATATCCCCAAACTAGAATTACCCAAATGTCCGTAGCAGAAGAATAGGTAAATAAAACAATACTCAGCTGTGAAAACAAATTAACTACTGATAATGCAACAGTATGGAAGCGTTGCCTACATGTGCTGAGGGAAGGCAGCTGGGCACAAAGGACGTATGTACGATGCGATTCCAGTGTGTGAAATTCTAGAATAGGCAAAACTAAAGCGAGGCGATAGAAGTCTGATCAGTGGTTTCTTGGTGGGGGCTTGACTGGGAGGAGGACCAAAGGAACTTTCTGAGTGGTCTTGATGTGCATTCATCAGAACTGATTGAATATTGCACTTAGGACCTCAGAATTTCACTGCATATAAATAAATTATACCTTGATTTTTAAAATATAGAGCAGGTACATAAGAAATGAGAAGTTGTGAGGTTCTAGGTGACCACTTATATTCAGTGTTATAAGACATCATTTTATGACCTTAGAAATGGTTGCTTCAGAACAGCTTCCTTTATTATAGATGAAAAAACCAGCGTTCCGTCTCTGGGGGGGTGCTTGACTCTGAGCAAGTTCTGCAAAATACCTCTTGAAATGTCTAGAGTTGAGATGTGTGATTTCAGGATGCCACATTTGATCAGCTTTTAGCTTTGAGAAAAGAGAAGAGGTCAGGTAAACTCCTGGTCTGAAACCTGGCTATAGAAAAAAACCTTAGTGATGGTACTAAGAAACCAGCAAGTTTCTTGTCTGAAACCCAATTTGAAAAAGAGGTGGCATATACCACCTTCCGTGGTGTTTAGGCAGGTTGTGCTGTCTAGTTTGGTTGACAATACCAGCACAAGAAGGTTGAAATAACCACTTGTGTGTGGAAGGAATTCTGGAATGAGCTCTGGCATCTCTCAGACAGTGTCCCACTCTGTGAGTACACAGGCTGGAGTGGTGAGGAGACCTGAGGACGGTCCTTCCAGAGTGAGACCACCAGCTCAGGTTCCAGCTGTGCCAGCTGGATCCTGGGCTCTGCTAGGTGTGGGTGTAGCCTGACGTAACGTGCTACAATCCAGTGTGCACAGCGTAATTCCTAGCTTGTAAGTCTCAGTGGCCTCTAGCGAAGTCATTATGGCATACCCCCCTGACCCCCCCAGTGGAAGCTGTGCTGTTCTGGGTTTTCTTCTCCTCTTGAGGGCTCTTTGCTGATGTCACGACATCTGTTATGTAGGCTCCTGCACCCTGCAGAGGTCACACACCTGCATGCACATACCCTGGTGTGCGCACTTCTACTTCTTCCATCATTTTCCCTTGGGCTTTCTCCCATATTTGACACTGCGTCTAGCTAATGAGTGCAGTTATTTGATTAACCAGAGAAGCACTTCCATCTTCATTTCTTCCTCTTAATTTGCTGACAGTTTCAAACTGTACTACTTCCTTGCTGTGGAAGATGACCTTGGGTATATCTATTGCTTTTCTTTTTATTTATATGGAGTACAATTTATATACTTATTCTGGTAATCCATTATGTATATATTTAAATTGGAAATGATTTGCTGTGTTTTAATTTTTAGTATTATTAGTTTCCAGTGAACAAGTTTAAGGAGTTTTGTCATAATGGATTTCCAATTAATTCTTCCCTTCCAATGATAGTGCTTACTTATTTTTATCTGTAACAATTAATTGCTAGTCTTTCAAAGAAATCATATTACTTCATTTTTTTCCATTCATTTTTGTACAGATTCATAGGGATCAAGGAATAGTAATTGCACAAGCATGCAAGGATCCTCTTCATGTTCTCCTACTGCAAAGTAGGCTTTTGAAAAGGTGGCCGTGGCACATCAGTCATGGTCTTCATGATGTTTTCACTCATCTTTTTCTTTAAAATGTTTTGTGGTTTATTAAAAGCTTATTCAGCAATTCTCTTTACTACAAATTATAGTACCCCATTTTCTGCTGTGGTACCAAGGTCAATTTTTGTATCATTTACAATTGTATTAGAAAAGGAGGCTTGAGAAGCTTGTTATCTGTCCTACCCAGTTCTGCTCCTTTCTTGAATCAGAAAGGACCAAAATGATATCACAAAATTTATAATTGGGTTTCTTTCTCTTTAAATACCAAATTCTGAGGGTTAGCTAATGCATAAAACATACGAGCAGCTCAGTTCCTTTGTACCACCGTCTTCAGGGATGACCCTTGGCAGGGGACCTTCATCTGTTGCTTTCTTGTGCTGTGGCTGGTTAAAGTTTATCCTGTAGGATTTAGACATTTGAGGTTTGAAATAGAGACTTGTCATGCCAATCATTTAAAAAATAAGTTCTAGTAAATAACTTGGGGTGGGAGAGAAAGGGGACATAGGCGGTGATAAATAAGAAATAATCTCTTCCTCAGGAGCTTATTTTGGCGGTAGTGATAGACAACACACTATAATTCAAGGCAGAGACAGTATGACCTGGGGGTGGCCCTTTGAAAAAGTGGCATTTAGGTGGAAGTTGGGGGATTAGGTAGGATTTGGAAAGTGGCTCTGTAGAGTGGAATATAGAGAAGCATTTGAAATGGAGGGTACGGGAGTATGCGCAGAGTGAGTAACGGGGATTTGGTTTGATTTGTGACATAGCATACAAGTAAAAAATAGAAGATTAATTGGTTTAACTTGAGAAGGTAGTTTGGGGCCAGATCATAGGTAGCTTAAGTGGTTTATACTTTTAGATAGCAAGAAACCATGAAGGGTTTTGAGACATGCAATTAAGGGGCATCAAGAGGAATGTTGCATTTGGGGCAATTAATCTGGCCATTGTGTTTATGTAGATGGATTGGAAAACAGACACCATTAAGATAATTTTGTAGTACTTTTGAAGATACCCCGATAATGACTAGAACAAGGGTGACAACAGTAACTGGAAAGGATGGGGTGACTCCAAGGTCAATAGGATGGCTAAACGTTTGATAGTCAGAGACAGTCCTGGTTCTGCCTGTTGTCATAGCAGAGTTACGTAGTACTCTGTTTTGCTTTTAAATTTGTCATGGTTTGGACAACACATCAAATGGTGACCCTAAAGATAGATCTGCTTCAGAATTGATAGCACTTGTTAATTTAAGGGAGAGAGGAATGGTGGCAGAATATATATACAAATTTTAGAAATTCTTATGATTTCATTAAATTTCCCTTTTTTTGAGAATTAAACAGAAAATTATCTTACCTGAATACCATAATCAAATCACATATGCTTAAAAATCCATTTTGGTTTTTGTTTTTTGTCTTTTAATGACTACATTTGAGTTTTGGAATCTTCAACAAAATGATAAATGCCAAAGAGAAGAATACTGTATTTAATCTTATCTAACATTTCCTTCATTCCATTTAAAAGTAAAGCTTTTTAGAACCTCAATAATTCAGTGTAGCTTGCATTTAAAATTTTCCAAATAGAAATGCAGCTAATGGCAGTGAAGTACCCTCTGTACCAACATGCCCTCCTTGAGGGGATAGGCCAGCATGTCAGGACCTTAGCTGCCCTCACCATCTTTTCCTAATTGAAACCCGGGTTGTAGACACGTGCTGTCTGTTTTAAGGCCCCGGTATAGATAACGGCTGTGGCATGTGGACCATCAAAAAAATAAATAAATAAAAACGCTTTTGTGTTTTCTATGTGTAGGCAGAGGGAGAAGACAGCCTGAAGAAGATGCAGCTGATGGAGCTCGCGATTCTGAATGGCACCTACAGAGATGCCAACATTAAATCACGTAAGAATGAGACCGAGGCCCAGGGGTACAGCTCTCTCGGCTGTTTGTCCACAAACCTTTCTCCCTTTGACAGCACAACACATGAACAGTTACACAAAGTGAAGAGTTGAAGTACTTGTCACTTGATATGGGGCTGACAGTCCTATTTTTATTGCTTCCGCAAATTGAGAACACTCTTAATTTTATTTTACGCCAGCATGTATTTAAGTTTTGGGTTTCTAAGCTTTTCTTTTGATGACATTTGAACTTCTAAATTCAAGAGTTTTGAGTAAATTTCCTATTCTGTTAACTACAGATTTAAAGCTTCTAGCTTATTGTGTTACATTTATGAAAAGGACAAAAAAAAAAATCACGACTTTTTTTAAAGCTACATTGGAATGTGTCTGAGTGCAGTGATCCTCCTGTTGAGGCCTGTCCTTTCACCCGGCTCGCATGTTTCCCGCCAGGGTTTTCCCTATTGATTTTATATGTGAGTTCACAGAGAGCAGTGAGCGATACTATTTTAAATCTAGCTTTTTCCTTCATATGTATTTGTGCATGCTTTCATAAGCTAAGAGGATTGCTTTTTATAGTTAAAATTACTATGTGAAATTTACATTTTGACAGTCTAAGGTTTACACATTTATGTGAATATAATTTCATATTTAAATTATTAAGTTTGTAAAGAAATTGAATTTTAAAGTTCTAGCCAATTTTCCAAAATGTTTAGACAACCTTGTGGATTTAGAAGTGGTTGCTTTACAAATGGTTGGCTTCCGTTTACTCGTGAGAATGAGTATATCAATAAGTCACGTATTTAGGAATGGGACGTTTAGTGTATTATTTTTCTATGACGAAGCTTATTCCTACCTGTGCAGGAAATTTATATATAACTAGTGTTACTTGACATAATAACAATAAAAATTATTCTTTTTTTAATTTGAAACTGAAGCTACTCTTTAGAAATACACCAAAGACTGTATTTCTGTGGACTCCAATTAAAAATTTTTAACATCTTTTTACGCGAGTGTTTTCTTGTGCTTCTGCATGCACCTTTAGTCTCGAGAGAGCTTAAAAACAGACATAAATCAAATATGAACTAAATATAACCTTTTTTAATGGTCTTGTTCATTTTTTTTTTTTACAGTGGCTTTTTAATTTTTGCACATTCATTCTTAATCACGTTGGGAAAGGGGCAGCTGTTTGCATTTGATTGGTGTGCTTTGGCATTTCCGTGTGATCAGCGCATGTACTAATGATTTCCTTTTATTTTTCTTCTTTCCTGCTTTTTCCTTTCTTTTTCCTACTTCCCTCTCATTTTCTGTATTGTACACCGTCTCTACACTTCCTTCTAACTTTCTTTGCTTACTGTAGCAGCCCTTGCCTTTTCTCTTGCAGCAACAGCCCAGGCTGCTCCAAGGATTATTACTGGGCCTGCGCCTGTTCTCCCACCAGCTGCCCTGCGTACTCCTACGCCAGCTGGCCCTACCATAATGCCTTTGATCAGACAAATACAGACCGCCGTCATGCCAAACGGAACTCCTCACCCAACTGCTGCAATAGTTCCTCCAGGGCCAGAAGCTGGTTTAATCTACACACCCTATGAGTACCCCTACACGTTGGCACCAGCTACATCAATCCTTGAGTATCCTATTGAACCTAGTGGTGTATTAGGTAAGTCGTTTCTCTGTATGGTTCACATTTTTCCTCATAACTTTTGCTGCCCCAGCCTGTGAAAACATTTATATCAGTTTTAGAGAGGCAAGACAAGTTTCCACTAGGGAAGACTGAAGACTAAATTTTTATTTCAGCCCCCGCCATAAGGGTTCCCCTTTTAAATGCACCTTAGATTTATTCAGATTCTCTTTGGTCACTCAGATTCACTTTGGATGGGTAAATTTGCTATGAACATTTTAAACAGGAAATACTTTTCACATGTGACATCACTGAGGTCCTTGTGAGTTTCAGATCCCACCCATTGGCCTATTTCCTCCATTCCCTTTGCCACCCAAAGTTAGATTCTTTTTGTAGCACAGATTTATTTGTCAGCTAAATTTTAGTTTTCTATGTGAAAAGTATTATGAGAGTTTTTTTTTAAAACTGTGATTGTGTGTTTTCTAATAATTGTGACCACTTAAAATATGAAAGGACCCCAGTAAATAGCTTCAACCTTTAGGTTTCTTCAGTTTTTCTCTTTTGAAGTCCTAGTTAATATTAAATATAAGAGAAATTTCTTAATTTCAATAGCACAGTATGGAATTGATAAGTAAGTACCAAGCCACTGTGTTAGAATCACACTTGAGGCAAAAATTAAGATCATACTATAAACGCTCAGTTTTACATGAACAAAAAGTGGTTTGCTTGAAAAAGACATTACCGATGCTTTTTCTTATAGAGTGGATTGAAATGCCAGTCATGCCTGATATTTCAGCCCATTGACTTACTGGATGAAGGACTAGCGTACAGCAGCTGTTGTAACACCACCAGTCCGTGTGGAACAGGCTGCTCCCGTGCTTTGCCGCCCCTTTGTTTTACCAGACAGAATTTGAATATTTTTTTTTCTTTGAATTCTACATGACCTTGGTGCTGCATGCATGCTGTTGACTCTTAGGACTTTGACCTTTTAAGGTTATTTTTTTTCCAGCATTAATACTGATTTATCAAAATTTGAAAGCCTTTAATGAACTCGGACACAGAGATTTAAACTTGAAAACTCATTGTTCAATTAAAGAAAGCCACAACGCTCTGTATGTTATCTGTGTGTGTGCATGCACTCAGGTGCCTTTTGTTTCATGAGCAAATACATTTTATTGTACGTGTTTCCCATTTATCTCTAAATCATTGTATAAAGTATTACAGGTCAGAATTCTACTGTAGAACTGTTGATGCGAAGCTTGTTTCTGTTGCACATTTCTTGAAGCATTTAAAAAATAACATGTAACATATAACCTGTTTACCTTTTTCCTTTCTGTTAACGCTCTATCCTGTGGCCCCTGCCTGCTCCTCTCCCCCACAGCTCCTCCCTGCTGCACGCACAGCGTCTGTTCGAGGAGTTCGACTGTTGCTTCCTGCAGGGCTGGCACTCTTAGCCACCAGCTGCTGTTCCAGCACTCTCAATGCAAGATCTCACTGATTTTGCCTCGTGAAATTATACTTGTATAAGATTAGTTTATCTAAACTGAAAAAGGGCTGATGGACCAGTTTACTGCTTAGAATCAGCAAGAGGCACTGCAAAATTTATTTCTCATTTTAAAGCAATGTGGTTTTTTTGTTGTTTTGGGAAATTTTTAGTTACAATCCTTAATTATATTACACTGACAAAATTAAAAGCAAAATGTATAGATACTTAATTGGCATTCATAATATGAACAATAATGAGTACTAAATGACAAAAATCCATTTCGATCAATTTTATTTCTTGCTTTGCCACCTAAGCAGTAAAACATATTGATTGACCACTTGGAGAATTAAGAAAAATATTTCAAATTGCTAAGCTATAGTAAATTTGCACACAGATAACATGCATGCTATATATCAAGTCTCACATCATTTAAAAATAAGCAGTGCCCTTCAAAACAGATGCAGACATGTGTGTTGGTGGTAGTGAGGAGATTGGTATTAGCATCAAATCTTCATTGATGACTAATTTTTAATTCCCTTCCTTTTATCTTTAGGTATGGCTTTCCCAACGAAAGGCTAAGAATTCAAGAACGGTCTTAACTGAACCCTCATCAGATCTGAATTTAACAAATGCTTAGTCTCAGCAGCCTCCGGGGGCGGGGGAGGGGGGGAGGGAAGCTTAGCCTAGCAGTCAGTGACTTACTTGCACTTTTTGCACACTGATAGAAAGTAAAAGTATGTTATTAATTTGGTTTAGTCTGTACTCTTACAAAGTAACGGTAATTTTAAAGGCGTGTGTAGTAGTATACTGACTGCTAAGTGTACTATACTGTTTGCTTTACTAATCACCTAATTCATTGCAGTTCATACTTATTGACTCAAAGTTTAAAACCACAATCTGTAGGCTTTAAGAATTGCTTTTAAACCTTTTTAAGTGATAAACTCTGGAAGTGGTCTTTCAGGTTAGGAAACAATTGTCAGTATTAAACATGGTATTATTATTTAAGTAGTCCTGCTGCAAGAAGGCACTTCAGTGAATATGTGACTAGTAAAGCTTGAATATGTCTGGAGCTAATAGCGTTCATGAAATACTGTAACTTGGGATTGTAAATGAATGGATGAAATAGGTTAAGGCCAAGATGTTTGAAATAAATGCAATATTAATAGACGCATATATACGCAACATATTATGGTTAATTTTAAAACTACTGTGCCTTAACGTGTTTCTTAAAACGAAACTTTTGTAGTAAATGAACATTTGAAATCCATTTTGATAAACCTGCTGTTAATGTTTTGTTTTCTTTTCCCTTGTGAATGTTTTCTAACTTTGTCTTGGTAATTGCAATTTAACTAGGTGCGGTGGCTACTAAAGTTCGAAGGCACGATATGCGTGTCCATCCTTACCAAAGGATTGTGACCGCAGACCGAGGTTAGTTTAGTTCTGCAGTTCTTGTTTATAAGAAATGCGTTGGGTGTCCATACAATTTGCAACACCACACCTGATGGAAAAATATATAACTGCTTACCTGCACACCATTTCTTTTCCTTTTCTAAATTAATTTATAATAATTGACAGATTTAAGGGTTGGGTTTTTTTGGTGTTTTTTTTTTTCCTCCCTTCATATTTTAACTTATTATATCCTGCTAGTATGTACTATGATTTATTCCTACTAAAACATAAATTAGTCCATTTGGGGAGCTATAAGTTTTGTTTTTGCCTTAATTATTTTTTAGTAATAATTTTTGTGAAAAATTTACCTTTTAATTGTTCTGAAATTTTGGGTTGGTTTTGCAAAATGAACTGAGCAGATGGTGCTTTAATGAGAGAAGTAAGGGAATATATGCCTCCTGTGTTCTTCTGGAGAAAATTGAAGATTTAGTTTCCGTACATATTTGAGCCACTGTATAAACATGAGGATATACATGTCAAGTACTTAGCCGAAATCAACAAAGTAAGGACTGTGAAGTTAACTCTGATGCAGTTGAGTTTTTTATAAATCAGAAAATCATTTCCCTTTTATTCTTATATTTTCTTCCAAATGGATCCTTTTTTTTTTTGTCATTTGCTGCTAAAATATATTATCTAAAGGTGAACCATCTCTTGAAGTTCTGTGGTGACATGAATCCAGCTGTTTGAATATCTTTTTTGAGTAACCTGTGACTGGAAAATAAGTCTTCATTTTTCTCCTTTTCAACATTTGTAATTTGTGTCCTATATATGCCCTTGGGCCCCTTTATAAATTATTTATGTTTATTAAGAAGTGATATTTTCGGTTTATTGACATTGAATTGTTTTCTGAGTTTGTTATCACAAGATAGGAATCTGAAGCAAGGTAGAAAAGCATTTTTTACAAGCTTTTGTTACGGCACGCTTATTACCTACTAATAGATTGGTCAGAGTCTTGAGTATTAGTGGGGAAAGTGATGGATTTATACCCCAAGTCTACATCTTCTATGAACTTGTGACAAACCTGCCTACTTTGCATGGTTATCTTGAATATGGATGATAAATACTGGACACAGTTGTTGTCCACATCAGAATGAAATACTTTTCCAAAGATATTGATGATATTTATTCAGCATCATATATAATTAAAGAGCCTTGAAGGCTTTTAACTAATCCATTACGTAGTGATTATCAGTGAACAAAATAAATAGACCCCTAAGCTCAATGATTATCTGGGAAGATGATGCTCCTTGTAAGTGTGTCAGGCACAAGTGTGCGCACTACCCTTCTTGCATCAGAACATGTCTCCCAGTGAAGGAGGACATTTTTAAAAAAGAAGAAAAAGTCATTTAGATTGAAAGAATCCAGATAATTCCATGAATAAAGAGAAACTTTTTTTCGTATAGTTAATGTCTAAAATAGTTCTAAAGAGCATTTTAAAGTAGTTTTTTCTTCTGTTACCCTTTTCTTGTATGCCCCTTTTAGATGTCTGATAATTTTGTTTTAACACAATAATTATTGGCCTACTTAATACTCCAGTCCTTGAGATAGCTGAAAATATTAGGAAGATTTGACTGTATTAAGAAACAACACATTCCATGCATGGCTCTGTTGCAGTTATATGTGTTTTGATTAGTCCTGTCACTGTTTTTATTCAAAAAATGCAATGTCAGCAAACCGAAATGCTACCTTTTTTTCCCCCTCTAAATAACAGAATAGTTTGTATACTGCTGTTATTATCACTGTATGCACTCACTGGGTCTAAGGAAGATGTCTGAAGTCCTTCACTTAAATTATTTTATGATACTACTGTTTTCTCTATTTTTGAGGGTTTTTTATTATTTTTTTATCTTTTGAAGGGAAGATTAATATTAGTGTTCATTTAATGCAAGGAAACTCAGCCCTTGGACCTATAACCATGTAATTCTATATGAGCAGTTAGAATGCTGCATGGTTGACGAATATCTAGTTTTTTACTAAAAATAAACCCACCTCTACACATATTTCAAAACTGAATTTGAAGCCTGTAAAAGACCAACTGACTTTTTAGTTGTAATGCACCATAAGTGATTTTGCACGGTGGACACACCTGTGTGTACTGTAGGAAGCCAGGACTTGGCAGAGGATGTATTTTAGGTGTACTGGTATATATATAAATGGTAGTTTGCTTTGTTTATATATTCCACATGCAAAAAAAAAAATCAGAATTTTTCTGAATAAGGATTTTACAAAAACCATTACTTACGTAATTTGTATAAGAAACTTAATACAATTTTAATCAAAATTTTAAGTACTCAAAAATGCTTTAAGATTCTGTAATTTTGGAGTATCTACAGAATGGTATGACTACATCATGTTAAATATTTATTTTCTTTGATTTTGGAATAGCCGTTTTTATTTTAAATAAAATTCCACTATTTTTAAGACATTCAGGGAAGATTTGGTCACACTCAAGATACAGTATTTTTGTAGTATTTATAAACTATCCTAAATGATAGATTATAGAAAGCATTTTTGTTACATGAAGGTAAACCAATCCATTATATAGCTCACGTAAACTCTGTGAACATTACACCTACTGGGTTTGATTTGTGAAGTGGCACAGAATCTACCTTTGCACTGAATAATTTTCATATCTCCTCTGCCTTAGTCACAGTGGCAACAGTACAGAAAATTCTATCAAACCTCAGAATATAGTAGAAATAATTAAGCTGTTGAATGAGTCTTAAATCATACTACTGTTAAGTGGACCAAGTTTGGTGACGCAAAATGGGACAGAGGTTGATTAAGGACATGGGGGACGATTACTTTTCCACTTGAGAACTACTTTATGTTTTACTGTAATTTTTTAAAATTTTTTTGTTCTGTTTGTTATTTTTCAAAAGAAAATAGTATTTACAGGTGGCTTTTAAAATATATAAAGCAGGAATGTATATGAAATGTCAGATTTTATTGTATTTGCAGAGAATTAGCTTTGAAATTGAATAAAGAAAGCTGTTTGTAGTTTTAAACTGCCTTATTGGTATCAGTTAGAAATTTCTTCTATTTTTTGATGTACTTAGAGCTTTTTGAGTATAGAATTTTAAATGGCAGGATTTTACAGTGTTTACATGCAAGTGCATTTTATAAGTGTTCTATATGTGTAAAATAGTATTTTCAACTGGAAAATGTTGGCCAGTGCAGAAGGCCTGGCCTTTTTCTGGTTCCCATGATGTTGCCTACACTGCTAGACTACAGTTTAGTATTGCTTTGTATCATGAGGCCAAGAAATTCCATGTTGTTTGTAAATAGAATTGAAAAAGCAATAAACATTTATTGAACAAAAGAAACCTTGTTTGGCCCAGAGTTTATGTTGAACCAAATTATTCATAGAAATTTAAATATCTTTAGATCCATTTCTGTTAATCATCAGTTATTAATAATCACATCCATCATTAATAGTTGCTTTAATGCTTGCATCTGAGAGATACTAATGCTTAATAGCAGTCAGATACTGATAACTGCACTGACTGTTTCGAAATTCTGTATACCAAACCTATTCATTGTTGTTGTTTTCCAGTTTCCTTCATTGACTGCTACTAACTATTAGTTGTTAGTTACATTTTATTTCTATTTTTTTCCTGTTAACCGGTTTTGGTTTTTTTGTTTTTTGTTTTTTTTTGTTTTTGTTTTTTTGTGGGAGTGGGCTCTCCTTCATTTGTTCAAATCATGATATGAAATTGTCATGATTTTTATTGTATTCTGTAGATGGTGTCAATCAGTTTGTCAGAATTAAACATGCTTTTTTTTATTAGTTGTGATTAGTTTTTCATGTTGTCATTAAGCCGTCACTAGCTGAAACTAATCTCTTCTCTATCTTTTCTTTTCTTTTTTTTTTTTGTTTTGTTTTTTGTTTCTAACCACCCAGCCGCCACCGGCAACTAACCTATGACCTTCTGACCTCTGAACTCTTCACCCAATGATGACCTGACCATGCCTGCCTGCTGATCAGTTAACTGGTAATCGCCTTTGCTTGCCTGTCGTCAGTGCAGCGAGCTGAGGCACTTGTCCGTTCGTCTTACCATCTAACCAAACAAAAGACAAAGAAATTGTTGTCCTCCAACTCAGCTTTTGGTTCTTTTTTTTTTTTTTCTTTTTTTTTCTTTTTTTTTTTTTCCCTATTTGGGTGAAAGTGGTTCTAGAAACTGCACTGAATAGNTTTTTTTTTCTTTTTTTTTTTTTCCCTATTTGGGTGAAAGTGGTTCTAGAAACTGCACTGAATAGTAGTAAAGCAATAAGGCCCAATTCATCCCACAGCACTGGTCATCTTTTAATGTCCCACCCTAAGCGAACGGTAAGAAGGCCTCACTTCAGAAGGGGAGACAGATGGCCCTTAACTACTCAGTGACAGAGGCAGTTACTGTGAGAGACTTCTGGGGATCTCTTCTTATAGCGAGTCTAAGCTCTCTGAATGTACTGTGTGGTGATGCATCATGCATGAACCTTTGGTCAGGAATGTCATTGGGGAAGTGATTTCAAAAGTATTCAAAATTTGATACGCTGTTTAGTCACTACAGTGCCCTCAGAGGGCAGAAGTTGCAGCCTTTTTTATATTGCCTGCCAAAATTTGAAGTATTAGAAGTGTGCCATGAGAGAACAACTTCACAAGGAATTTTGAAATGTAATGCAAAGAACAAAACTGCAACACTATTTTTAAAAAGAGAAATATCTGAGTTAAAATTATTGAACCTTTATTTTACACCTCCTTAAAAAAATACACGAGAACAAGGTACATGCATTATGTGTCACATTACTGGGCAAACTGTTCAAATATTTTTTTTA